ACAGGTTCATTTCAGCATCCTTAACCTGGACAAGGAGCAGAGACAGCCCCCGAGAACTCCTGGGATTTGGAGGTTGAGGGTGCTTTCACAGGCATTGACCCACCCCTGGAAATGTGTCTTTGAAAATAACAGTTGCCAGGACCCACTTCCTGCCACAGGACAGTGGCTGCCTTTTTACAGCTCTGGAAACTGAGAAACATATTCTTCTCTTGTTTCTTTGACCGAATATTAGAGCTTGTGGTTTCCTAGGTCAACCTGTGGAAGCGCATCAGCACTAAGTAGGAAAACAACGTAAAAAGATAAAAACGTGCATGTGGGGAGGATGAGGCCAGATGAAGATCACTGGCAAATGGACTAAGGGCAGGCAGGACTTTCCATCTTCAGACCCACTCAAGGAGTTCTGTGATTATTCTTTACCTAGATTTGAATTCCCCTGGGATCCTTGCCATGACCTGTGGATTCTTTTCCTGTTCATTTCTTATCAGAGGCAAGATTTCTGATATAGCTGGGCCTTGTTCCATAAACACTGTTGCCTATGACTTAGAACTTCCAACAGTCTGGCAATTTCTTCTACAATTGTCTTTAAGGCAGAAATTTCTTGGAAGGCTGTCAGCCTCTCTATCGGGTATACTGTGGTCATTATATTTTTTAGATTTATATGTATTTGAAATTTAATTCACAAAGATTGGCATTCCATTTGGGGCATCACAATATCAAGAGAGGCTATTTCCAGCGTCATTGATCTAACAATCAGCTACTGCTTGTTGGGATTTATTTGTCTATTTGCCTGATCAAGCGTGTTGTATTATCAAATCCTCTTTATCATTACCAAATTTGTGTGAAACGTCTATCACTTTCTGAGAGTGATGCATTAAACAATAATAGAGCACCCATAGTGTTTATATCTTCCCTAAAAATGAACTGGCTGGGCCTGATGGATCACAAGTGATCTCTGGGTTGCCAGGATGAGAACATAATCCTGGCCAATGAATGACCCCTTGCTGCCTAGGGTAACTTCTGGGCCCTTGTGGTTCTGAGAGTCCATGGTCTCAAACAATCACCAGGTTACACACTCAGCTATCTTGTTACCAAGGAGATCTAAAGAGGAAGTTGAACCCGAGCCTATAGAGCTTGTAGCCCCTGGATGGCTGGTTTTTTTCCCCACAGTCTTGTGCTATGGGCATGTCATGGAGGGGGTGGGGTGGGGAGTATCAGTATTAATTAAAATACTGAATGTTATCAATTTGGATGAAAAACAGACACTGCTCTGAGTTTACCCCTAGTACCCACCTCATGATTGGGAGCTAAAAGTTTACCAGCCACACTTTGAATGTTATCTCTTGAAAATATCCTGCAAGAGCAAGCGCCAAATGAATTGCGTGGCACTTCTGAGTAGCCTACCTCTTTTCTGACAGCTGCAAATGTCACCCAGCCACTCAACAGGTGGACTGTGCCCGGGAGGCCTTTCCAGGGCAGTCAGAAGCTGAGGACAAGTTCTGGTTCCAGGCAGCCCAGGCCCTTCCTGATATGGCATAGCCATCCAGGAAAGTAATTATCTAAAGTAAAGACAGCCCTGCCGGTGTGGCTCTGTGGTTGAGCGTTGACCCATGCACCAAGAGGTCGCAGGTTCGATTCAGGGCACGTGCCCAGGTTGTGGGCCTGATCCCAAGTTGGGGGCCATGCAGGAGGCAGCCAATTAATGTTCTCTCTCATCGATGTTTCTTTCTCTCTCTCCCTCTCTCTTTCTCTCTCTCTAAAATCAATAAAGAAAAAAAATTCTTTAATTAAAATAAAGACAGATAAGGCTGTACGTTGCTTCCAGAAAGAAAGAGAAGGGCCAATTCCCAGGGCTAGTCCAGGGCCAGGAGGAAGGCATGGGTGTTGATGGATTTCTCCTGCAGGACTATGAGGCTCCTGAGCCCCAGGCTTACACGTGGGAATATTTAATAAGTCTTGTGCCCACCATATGTATCTTTGGGTTTTTAATGGCCAAAAATGCACTGATAATAAGAAGGGACCCACATTTGCAGCAAGAGTTTATCTCAGCAGTTTTTTTTTTTAACTTTTACTTTTCACTATATAGATAGATAGATAGATAGATAGATAGATAGATAATGCACTCAAACTTATAATAGAATAGAGAAGAAATACTCATAACCATCAAATACATGTTTTGCAGCTGCTCACCTATTTTTTTAAAAAGTCCTCACCCAAAGATATTTTTTTCCATTTATCTTCAGAGAGATTGGGAGGAAGGGGGAGAGAGAAAGAGAGAGAGTAGAGGGGCGGGGGAGAGAGAAATACCAGTGTGAGAGACACAGGTCGACTGGTTGCCTCCTGCAGGGCCAGGGACAGAACCACAACAAAGGTACATGCCCTTGACTGGAATCGAACCCACGCTTCTTTGGTCACTAAGCCTATCCAGCCAGGGCTGCTGTTCACCTTTTCATAACTGGTATTTATAGCTACTTTCTTCCATTTCCCATTTCATATTTCCTTTGTCCTCATCAAGAACCTTAGCAGTTTGTGGTTCTTTGCCTGGCTGGGGTCTCTGAAGGATCTGGGTCATTAGTCATACAGTCTGGATTGTTTTTTTGTAGTTTTCTATTGATACTAATCACAGGGCATGGTGATACTAAGAAACACACTAAAAATCTCCTGAATTTCATACATAGTCATCCTGACCTCCACTGCAGGGTAGTAGTAGGAAGCCTGAGTTCCCAAGCAACACCAAGGCTATAAAGACAGTGTCTGCTTTAGATTTAAGGATAAATAAAACTCAGGGGAAAATAGACCTGTGGGAAAAACAATTAAGTCTCCCCTGCCCCACCACCTTTCTCTGCATTGAATCCAATTAGACAGTTCCAGCAGAGGCTTCCCAACAAGAAGCCCAAAGCATCGCAGGCATGAGGAAGGCTGTGCTGTCTTGCTTTGGGTGTGTGGGAATAGACTGCATGACGTCTATTCAGAAGACCACAGCTGAAGATACCCAAGGGCTAAGAATGAAAATTACACTAATGCTACTCATTCACACATTTTTGGTGTGAGCTTCACATCCTCAGTCATTCTCTAAGAACGTTTCCTCTAAAAATTATACTAATGATAACAATAGCCATCAGTTTTGACTACTAATATCTGCTAAGTAAAATGACTGGCAAGCTCTGCATGCATATCTCAATTACACTCATCATCCTTTTTCTTTTTTTTCTTTATTTTTTTTTTTGTGTGTGTCGAGGGCTGACTTTCAATAGATCACAGCGAGGGAGCTGCTCTGCTACGTACAAAACCCCAACCCTCATCATCTTTGAGGGCTTTATTCCCATTTTATAGCTAAAAATATAGAGGCTCAGAAATATTAAGTAACTTAACAAGGAAGGAAAATTACTAAGAATCTAATTTAAATACCTAGCCAAACTATTTGTTAAAGAGATAAAGACATTTTTAGGCATACAGACAGACTCAAAGTTGGCCTCCCACAGGCCTTTAGTAAAAGAACCAGTAAAGAATGTACATCAGGAAGAAGAAATGTAAACCTAGAAAAATATAACAGAAATAATGAGGAAAAAAAGAAAATTAAGTGTATCTAAATTAGTATTAATTTTAACATAAGACATTAAAATACATTCTAAGTAAAATTCCAGATGATTACCACATGGGAGAATAGAAGAGAGAAGATTCAATTAAAAAATAGTTCATTTTTAGGGAAGATATAAATACTATGGATGCTCTAGTATTGTTTAATGCATCACTCTCAGAAAGTGATAAATATGTCACACAAATTTAGTAATGATAAAGAGGATTTGATAATACGACACGCTTGATCAGGCAAATAGACAAATAAATCCCACCAAGCAGTAGCTGATTGTTAGATCAATGACGCTGGAAATAGCCTCTCTTGATATTGTGATGCCCCAAATGGCATGCCAATCTTTGTGAATTAAATTTCAAACACAGCCCTGGCCAGTTTGGCTCAGCGGTTAGAGCGTCGGCCTGCGGTACAGAGAGACCCAGGTTCGGTTCCCGCTAAGGGCATGTACCTCGGTTGCAGTTTGTCCCCGGCCCTGGTTGGTCGTGCGGGTGGCGGCCACTCGATGTGTCCCTTCACGTCGATGTTTCTCACTCTCTCTCCCTTCCTCTCTCTCCCTCCCACTCTATCTGTACAAAAAAATGGAAAAATATCCTCGGGTGAGGATAAAAACAAAAACAAAAACAAAAAAATTTCAAACACATATAAATCTAAAAAATAAAGGAAAGTCTGGCATTTCATTATATGCAACTCTGAATTGCCCTGGCCGGTTTGGCTTAGAGCGTTGGCCTGAGGACCAATGAATCGCAGGTTCAATTCCAGTTAAGGGCATGTACCTCGGTTGCGGTTCGTCCCCCGCCCTGGTCGGGTGGTGCGGGAGGCAACCAGTCGATGTGGCTCTATCACATTGATGTTTCTCTCTGTCTCTCTCTCCCTCCCTCCCACTCTATCTAATAATAAGTAGAAAAAATATCCTCAGGTGAGGAATAAAAAAACTCTGAATTAACATGCAGCAAAGGACAGAAAAATAAAGACCTAGAAGTAGATATTTTAGGACATAGATATAAAAATTCTTTAATAAAATATTATTTTGGAATCTGCTGGAATATTACACAATAAGAATAATCCATTCTGACTAGGTAGATTTTACTCTGTGACTGTGAGGGCAAAACACTAAATAGTTCCATGACTTTGATAACTCTCTGTTGACTTTAAAATACAAGTAAATAACACACATAGCAAAGGAAAATGAAAGTTCAACGTGAAAAGGAAAGATCTCCTTTCTCACCTCACCTGACACCCAATCTTTCACCCCAAATGATCACTGTCTATGTATTCTATATTACATAAAGAAAAGTATTGGTATATTTTAAAGTCTCAAAAGCTCAAAACAAGAAAACATTAGAGACACTGCAAAGAGACAATAATAAAGTGGTGGGCTTCATTTCATCTGCACCATCTTCTCTTTTCTTCCCTAGTGTTCTTCCGGACATCCTTCTTGGTCCCTCGCTTTCTCTGCCTTGCGAGCAAGTCTGTCTGCAGTCAACGCTATCGCCAGTCTGTCTCTTGCCATCTTCATTTTCCTTTCCTGTTTACTGATATCTTTCTCAGTTACCAGAAATTGTTTGCAGGGGAGCTGTGGGATACCCAGACCAGATCTTGGAATCATCTCTGCCAAATGTGAGGACCCAGCAGGGTGAGGACCACCTGCGAGAACACCTGGCAGGGACTCACCTGTGCAACTGGGCACAAGTGTTTGCAAGGCTTTGGTAAGATCGAAAGGACTTAACAGTTGTCCCGTGGTGCTGCAGGCCTGGAGTCCTTGAAGTCTCTTCTGCCAGCAAACCTGTTGGGGCTTGTCCAGGGTTTCCTCCAAGTGATGGTATCTGACCTCATTGCCTGGGTGGGATGTGATTCTCGTAACTGGACTCTTGAATATGTAATTGGACATCCTCAAAGGGATGGAGATGCTTAAATCAGGGTTTGGTTTGGATTGGTCTACCCAGTCATGATGCTTCCTCTGTGAAGTCTTGACCATCATATCTCTTTTCCATTTACTCTATAAAAATAAATCGTGAAATTGTATCTACATGATACATGAAACCTGACTTCTTAGGACTTCAGCTGTCTTGTACTTCTGCCCTCCCTCTGGGGATAGATCTGCCCTGCATCCTGGGACATCATCAAGCTGACTTGTGTCGAGAACAGAAAACTCAAGGTCAAAACCCAGAACCTATTCCAGATCATTTCTCCTCTCACATCTTATAAGACCTTCTCCTTTATGAGTATGATTCTATTCTTTTTGTCCTTGTCCTCTCAACTGCACCTGATTGAATCTTGGTACTGTCTCATGACACACTCCCCAGTTTTTTTCTAAGTCCAAAATCCTACCATTCTTCTGTATTATGTAAGTATTCATTTGGTTAAAACCATTGACCATTTGGTTTTTAGAGCTAAAATCATTAGTGACATCACCAGCTGACCCACTTTTAGTGACTGACTCCCCTATCCCAGGAGTTAGGTCACATTCGAAAATGTATAATTCAGAAAACATATTCACCCACTAAAAATTTATGATTTCCAATATTTTTATACACTCATACCATAGATACCTACCTGTTTCTCAAGATTGCGAGGTATGCCAGATCACTATATTCTTATCTTAATTTCTCCACTTCTATTCTTATCAATATAGGCACGGTTCTTAGGGAAAGATGCTGGGAAAAACAGAAGGCAGCAGGAAAAGAGGAAGAACAAACAGGAGACGGATTGACTCCACAGAATAAGCCATAGATGTGAGTCTCCAGGAGCTGGGCAGGACTGCTAAGGACAGGACATGGTGCACATCACTCATTCATAGTGTTGCCGGGAGTCAGAGCTGACTCAAGGGCACATAACACACACATTCCTATCAGTCCTGGATTCCATGGACTATGATCTCAATAATTTCCTGGAATAATCCAAAATTCTTTACCCTCATCACTTCTGTCGTAAAACTTCAACTCCAAAGATCCCGATTATCTACCACACCGTAGCTGCTGCTGGTCTTAAGATACCTGCACGATATTTTGGTACCACTGTAAAAACGAAATAATCTACATCTATCAGGAAACACCCATAATGCCTGAAAATTTTACTTTCTTTTAATGTGTTGGCATATTTACACCTTGATTTTTCCAAAAACCTGTTTCAAATTTTCTCCACTTCTTTATTTCATATATATTTGATATCCCTTAATTTGTCTGCTATTTCACAGAAAAAAAATTGTGAAATACTACTAGATAGAAATTTTATTGCTGTAGTTGTCAAATCTGCAAATATCTCTGATAAGCTTCCATTGCTTTCCACTTTCCCCTAATTATATTTATTATTATTATTATTATTTTTTATTCCTCACCTGAGGATATTTTTCTACTTATTATCAGATAGAGTGGGAGGGAGGGAGCGAGAGGGACAGAGAGAGACATCGATGTGATAGAGCCACATCGACTGGTTGCCTCCTGCACGACCCAACCACAGCCAGGGACAAACCGCAACCTAGGTATGTGCCCTTGACCGGAGTCAAACCCACGACTCATTATTCCACAGGCCAATGCTCTAACCGCTGAGCCAAACCGGCCAGGGCTCTAATTATATTTCAAGAAGTTTATTTTATTCTCCAGTGGTGATCTGGATCTCATCCCTTCCTCCTTCTTATTAAGCTCACCCCCCTCCCCAATATTCCCATATTGCCCCTTTTCTTTTTGTTGTTAATTCTTACCTGAGGATATTTTTCCATTCATTTTTAGATATAGTGGAATGGAGGGAGGAACACACGGAGGGAGGGAGGAACACAGAGAGAGAGAAAGAGAGAGAGAGAGACATTGATGTGAGAGGGGCACATTGATGGGCTGCTTCCTGCACGACCCTGATCAGGACCGGGGACCAAACTGCAACTGAGGTACATTCCCTTGACAGGAATGGAACCTGAGACTCGTTGGTCCAAGGGACAACTCTCTAACAGCTGAGCCAAACCGGCCAGGGCTGCCTCTCTACTTTTAATCTCTCTTTATGAACTGAATCCTTCCCTCAGCACTTACATAGCTGTAAGTCTTTCCTAACTACCCAGAAATCTCTCACCTGATCTTCCTGGACCCCTCTTCAACCACTGCTTTTTCTGCTCCCACCCTTCAGTTGTGAGAAAGGTCATCTACATCACGTGTCTCTGTGGCTTCACTTTCAGCCACCTCCTCAGACCATCCGCACTGCCATCCGTGTTCACCATTCTAGGGTAAGGTCACAATGACTCCTTTGTTACTGACTCAAGAGGAACTTTTCATTGTTCATCTGACATGATCTTTAAGTGGAAAACTTTTAAATATATTTGGACAACTTATTTATGTGAATATGATTTTACAGCTGTGAATCTTAAAAATCTAAGTACAGAGCAGGTACATCTCATAAAATACAACTCACGAAGCAAGAGTATGCTATAAACGAAAGTACAAACTGGATTTCTGGACTCAGTACAAAAAAATGTAAGCTGACTCAATGTTTACATTAATGGCATTTAGAAATCAGACATCATAATATCTTGGCTCTAATGGGTTAAAATATACAACTAAAATTACTTTCACCTGTTTTTTTTTTTTACTTTATTTAATGTGGCTACTAAAAAAGTTATATTCCGCCCTGGCCGGTTTGGCTCAGCGGTTAGAGCGTTGGCCTGCGGTACAGAGAGACCCGGGTTTGGTTCCCACTAAGGGCGCGTACCTCAGTTGCAGTTTGTCCCCAGCCCTGGTTGGTCGTGTGGGTGGCAGCCACTCGATGTGTCCCTTCACATCGATGTTTCTCTCTCTCTCTCTTCCTCTCTCTCCCTCCCGCTCTATCTGAACAAAAAATGGAAAAATGTCCTCGGGTGAGGATAAAAAAAAAAAAAGTTATATTCCACAGTATAGAGTGCTTAATTCTACTACTAGACAGAGCTGGTCAAACCACAAGTGAAAATAAAGCCCATGGAAAGTGGTCAGGGAAAATTTTTCCCAAGGCAAGAAGTCTATCCTGGCCCCCACTGCAGGATGCAGCAAACACACACACACACTCACACACACACACACACACACCCCAAAACCAATATTGACCCAGAGTGCCACCACTATTTCTCAAATGCCATGAGGTTACATTCCTACATAGTCCTAATTAGACTCACCTCAAGTGAGAAGTCAGAAGTCAAGACAAGTTACCTGCCTGGCTGGTGTGGCTCAGTGGTTGAGTATCAACCCATGCACCAAGAGGTTGCCGGTTCAATTCCTACTTAGGGCACATGCCCAGGTTGTGGGGGGGTCAATCCCCAGTGGGGGGCATGCAGGAGGCAGCCAATCGATGTTCTCTCTCATTGATGTTTCTCTCTCTCCCTCTCCCTTTCTCTCTCTCTCAAAATCAATAAAGAAAAAAACAATTAAAAGCACTTTTACCTTTACTATGTAAAAATATACAAGATATGTAAAGAATAATTACTCTAGCCAATAAATGAAAAGGAGATGATAGAACATGAATATCATTATTACTAAGTCACTACTGGATTAATGAGTCAGCTTGGGGACAGATGACACTGGATTAATCAGGACCTCATTAGGCTGATTCTGATTAGAGCACCATATTGGTTTTATACGCTAGGGCCTCTGAACTGTCCTGGCCCTGGCTACTATTTAACTACCAAGGTTAACCGGGCAAGTCCTTGATGACAAATCCCCTGGCTTCATTCCTTCTCACAACACCTGGAGGATTTTCCAAAATCCCACTGTCCTGACACTTTTTACCTGCCACAGGTAAGGAAAACATTTTCTCCAGGGTTCATGCTCTGTGTTGCCCAGTTCTGGGGGCGACACTTCTCCCTCGGGGGAAGGAAAGATCAGGGTGCAGACCTAGTGAGCCGCAGGAATTAGCACAAGAACCGGGGTTTGCTGACAGAGGGAAGAGAACCTTTAGTGTGCAGTGCTACCAGGTCCACGAAGCCCCAGTGACTCCTAGGTGGCATCAAGGAGGAGGATGCAGGACAGAGCAGGCACGTTTGGGTGTGACTGCTTGGCAATGCCTGTAGCATAACATCTGTGACACTGGTAGTGCATTCAACAGTGGTGTTTGTTGATTTATTCATCCTATGTTATGGAGTGCTTTCAACATACATTCCGGCCTAGTACTTGCCCTTGAGAGCTTATAGTGTTAGAAAAAAAATTTTTCTTTTTTTTTTTAATCTGCACCCGAGGATATTTTTCCATTTTTCTTCAGATAGAGTGGGAGGGAGGGAGAGAGACATGTCAATTGGTTGCCTCCTGTACAACCCAGACCAGGGCCGGGGACAAACCACAACTGAGGTACATGCCCTTGACTGGAATCGAACCCGTGACTCATTGGTCTGCAGGCCGATGCTCTAACTGCTAAGCCAAACTGGCTAAGACAACACTGTCTTATGTGGTATGTGAAGGCTGAATACTATTATATCGTCTTGGTGACTTTATCTTATATCTTATATCTTATCTTATATAGTTGTGTTTATTTCTCTATTATCTATTATCTATTTTTCTGTTATTTTAAGTGTGAAGTTATTTTGAGGGAACAGAAAGTAGCTGGATTGTGTTTTTCTAGATTTCTTCTTTTTTGCTTGTTCTTGGTACTTCCAATTAGCTCTGGGTTTTCAATTGACCTATGTTGTATAAGAGTTTGTTTTTCTTTATTTGTATTGGCTAAGGTGAAACATCTAGTTCAGTGAGATCCTGGCACTGTGATCAAAGCTAATGCAGACTAAAAGAGCAATGTCTCAGGCAATTATTTAGACCTTTTATCAGGATTGTGTGCATTTGTCCTGCACACCTAAACCTCCCAAATCTGTTAAACACAGAAACACATAGGTGTATGCACGCATATACAAAAGTCGTAGAGACTCTAGAAGCTTTTCACCCATCAAGAGACCTGAGTCAGAAGAATGTATTCAACCAGAGTTAGAACTGGAAAACATCTTTCACAAACTAAGCAACTTTACCACTTAACACAGTTGGAAACTGGGCAGTCGGGCAGGGATTGCGTGTGTAGTGCCATCTGAAGGGTGCAAGGCCAGGACATATTTCTGTTTGACAAGCAGTGTGGGGTCAAGGAAAGATAACTGACTTTGAGTCAGAAGTGATAGTTTCCAGTCTTGGCCAAATCACTTCCTGATGATTATGGAAAAGCTATGATACACCTGCCAATGGGACAGTGGTATCTCTCTATATCAATGTATTGTGGAAGAAGACAACAATGAATTCATAATTTATATATGCATATATTTTAGAATGCTCAAAATCCTTTCATACATCATCTCATTTTTTCCCTTGCAACAACCCTGTTAATGTTGGTACTATTATTATCCCTATTTTACAGAAAGTAAAGTAATTTTTTCAAGGTTTTTGAAAATTCTCAAAATCCTTTCATACATCATCTCATTTTTTCCCTTGCAACAACCCTGTTAATGTTGGTACTATTATTATCCCTATTTTACAGAAAGTAAAGTAATTTCTTCAAGGTTTTTGAGTTAATAAAAACACAGATTTAGGACTTGAGCCTAGTTTTCTGACTTTAAATCCCAGGATCATTTTTGTACCCTGTTCCTTGTCAAAACATTTGAAAATCAAAAGGCACATAGCAAATGTAAGGAACTGGTGTTAATTTTCTGAAAGAGGCACATGTAGGACTGCTCACCAACCTGCAGAAAGCTGCCGGGCTGCAGGCAGACTGAAAACTGGATGAAAATTCAAGAGCTTTTCTGGGCCGGTCCTTTGTAGGTGTTCGGCAAGCAAGTGTTTAAACCTTCAGGGCAGAAAAACATCTGTTGCTTTTGGGGCATTTCTAAGACCATAGCTTCTACAGTCTTCTTTCAAACCCATTCCAGGGTTTTGTTATCTGGATGACAACAACAACAAAAGAGCCCTGTCTTCATGATACAATACAGGTCTCTTTCCTCCTCATACTTCTAAGTTAGGCCTTCTTTGTCAGTATCACTTTTCTGACTCATTCTTGCTACATGTTCCTGTGTGTACCAATTTCTGCTTTAGGAAAGCAGCTTGATTTTTGAGACTCCCAGTTTCTTTCCCATTGCTTTCTTCCTACCAGTCATAGTATAAGAAAATGTTGGTTTTTTAACATTAAAAAATACTTGTTTAATTCCTTCCTTCTTCCTTTCATTTAAATAATTTTCTAACCATTTCCTCCTGAACTTTTTATTCCACAAAACTAATTTGTCTTTTAAAAACCAGGATCAAATAGAGTCTAATTACTACATACAAATGGATGGTCTCATCATTGATTATCATGTCCAGACCCCTGGCTCTTATGGCTAATTGACTAAAATCAAGCAGTTTCATTTCAAAGGTCAGTGAAGTCTAAGGCATCTCGATGGACTGAATAAGAAGCAGTCAGGGACATCCAGCTTCCCATCTGAGAGGGCAGAGCTACACCTTCCCAGAGCCTGCCAGGGATGGAAATTCCACGGATCTCTTGCTTGCTGTCTCATTTGGGGTATTCTAACAAAATACCACGGACTGGGTGACTTAAACAACAGGCATTTATTTTTCACAGTTCTGGAAGCTGTAAGTCCAAGGTCAGGGTGCCAGCACAGACGGTGTCTGGTGACAGGTCTCTTCCTGGCTCGTAGATGGCTGCCTCCTTGCTGTGTACTCACATGGTGGAGAGAGATGGCTCTGGTCACTTCCTCTTCTTATCCCATTATTGAGGTCTCATCCTCATGACCTCATCTAATCTAATTACCTCCCAAAGACCCCACATCCAAATACCATCCCTTTAGGGCTTGAAGGGATACAAACATTCAGTCCATAACAATCGCCTCAATCAATATTTTGTCTTCTAGGTAGTCCAGAGGCTGCCTCATGTTCAGAATCTATCTATTCCTTCCTTCCTTCCTTCCTTCCTTCCTTCCTTCCTTCCTTCCTTCCTTCCTTCCTTCCTTCCTTCCTTCCTTCCTTCCTTCCTTCCTTTCTTCCTTCCTTCCTTTCTTTCTTCTTTCTTTCTTTTCTTTCTTTTCTTTCTTCTTTCTTTCTTTCTTTCTTTCTTTCTTTCTTTCTTTCTTTCTTTCCTTCCTTCCTTCCTTCCTTCCTTCCTTCCTTCCTTCCTTCCTCTTTCTTTCTTTTCTTTCTTTCTTTCTTTCTTTCTTTCTTTCTTTCTTTCTTTCTTTCTTTCTCTTTCTTTCTTTCTTTCTTTTCTTTTCTTTCTTTCTTTCTTTCTTTCTTTCTTTCTTTCTTTCTTTCTTTCTTTCTTTCTATATGCTCTTATTGATTTTATAGAGGGAGATAGAAACATTGATATAAGAAACACTGATCAGTTGCCTCCTAAATGCCCCCAGTGGGGATTGTACCCTGACCAGGAATCGAACTGGGGCCTCTCAGTCCATGGGACGATGCTCAATCCACTGAGCCACGCCAGCCAGGCATAATGTTTTTAAAAGCATCAAGGCATCAAGTAAAATATATAGGGTTACAAAGGAAACCTATTATTTTGAAATATAATTGTCAAAACATTTAAAAAATATTTTGTGATATATTAATATATGTGCTTCTTTACTAATGCATTAACTAGCAAGTTCTAGCAGCAGGTCTAATAGCTACTAGTGAGAAATATAAATGACATTTTGAGATACCTGCAACAACTGTAAATGTGGTACGAAAATATCTCATTTCTGTTGGTGACAGAGAGTCACAAGTAGTACTGTTAATATTACTATGGCTTGCGGCCTAGATCCATAACAGAAGGAAAGTCTAAGTTTCATTTAGAGGTTAGTGACAAGGAAGATGTAATTTTTTCTTAACCAAGTTCACAGACCCCCCGAATTGAACAGTCTGTGGACCCCAGGTTTAGGATCAACATGTATTTGACTGTTAGAAATGTTGCTCAGTCTCTTGGCTGCCACTCTGCCTGGGCAAATTCTGGACTCATCACCTCTTGATCTGTCTTCTAGATCTTGGTGCAGCCATTCTTCACTTGCTCATCAGTTCTTTGATGTCTTTTGAAAAATGCCTTTTCTATTTCGTCCTATTTTTAAATTGTTTCCAGTATAAGAGTTGACCTAATTGCTTAGTCTACCATTACAGGAAGCAGAGGTGCCTGCACCTGTGATCTCTCCACCTTGATGTACACAGGGACTTATTTCTTTTTACCTGGGTTGCTAGCATAGCCATTGGTTTCTAGCCCCCTAACCCCCTAGTCTGGCTTCCATTCTGCAGTCACCAGAGAAAATTTTCTAGATACAAATCAGATTTCTAAAATGCAAATCTGATCATATTAGATATTAGCTTAAAGTCATTCAGAGGCCCCAAAATGTTTTAGTATAATCCAAATGCTTTAGTTAAACCAGACTCCTATTAAGACTTATACATCATGTAAGTCTTGTAAGTCTCCTATAAGACTTATAAAAGGGGGGAAATGGGGACATCTATAATATAGTCAACAATAAAAAGAAAAAAGAGACTTATAAGACTCCTAAGCCCTTGCCAGTGTTGCTCAGTGGTTAGAGCGTTGGCCTGTGCACCGAAGGGTTGTGGTTTGATTCTCAGTCAAGGGCAGGTACCTGGGTTGCAGGTTTAATCCCCAGCCCAGTCGGGACATGAGAGGCAACCAATCTCTGTGTATCTCTCACATCAATGTCTCTCTCCCTGCCCCCCACCCCTTCTTCCCTTCCACTCTCTCTAAAAATCAATGGAAAAAATATACTCAGGTGAGGATTAACACACACACACACACACAGAAGACAACTCCCAAAAGACAGGAAGTGGCTCCCTCTCACACCGAAACTCACATCCTAATCTCTTACCATGCCCAACTCCTTGGAGTGCCCAGAGTACTGTATGTGCCCAAAGCTTCTGTGCCTTTGCACATGGTATTTCTGCCCCAAACAGCCATCCCTCTTCCCTCCTTGGACTGGCTAGCTCTTCATTTTTAATTGTTATTTTCATGATTTTGGAAGTTAGATTGCCACTTTCTCTAAAGTAATGTGAATGATAGTGGTTACTTTCTCTAAGGAGTCTGTTTAAAAGACTCAACCTCACTCCAGTGAAGCTATCATTGCACAAAACATGTTTGGATCTTCTTTCCGTCTGTGGTATTTACTTGCAGAATACTGCAAGGTAATCAAGAGGAAGAACTCTGGAGCTCTGGACTCACTGGGGTTTGTATCCCATCTCCACCTAGTAGCTATGTGGCCTTCAGTACCTTCATCTATTTCTCATCTATAAAATGAAGATACCAATATTAATTACCTTGTAAATGTATAAAGATTAAAATTTATTTGTGAACACTTATATGGTAGGAACTGTTGACGATCATGCAGATATAAAATGAACATGTGCCAAAGATTTTATTTAACTTACTATTTAATGAACCAGAAAAGTGTTAAAAGTGGTTCAAATGAAGATTTGATTTTATTATTTTCTACAGGACATTCATTTGCATTCCCATGGACAGGAACCATTTACATAGCAACAGGTAGAAAATATTCTCATTATTATCAGTTTTCTAGAAATTAATTTCTACCTCTATGGAGTTGTAAAATAGCCTATTCAAATACATGATCACATACCCTACAAGGATCAAGCATCCTATTGAAAGGATAATCCAGTAATCTTTTTTATTCATTCCAAGTCTTTAGTTTTTCTTTGCATAGGGTGATTATAAAGATTTACAACTTAAAGTATAGAACAGTCTGATACATAGTAAATACTTAGTAAACCTTAGACATTATTATTATTGCCTTCAGAATTTACAGTACATTCCTTTGAATACCTGCAGTAGTTGTTTTTCAGCCATGGAAGGAATATTCAATTTTTTGGAAACAGCTGAATTATTTGAAATCAAGTCCGTTAAATAAGAATACTGATTTTGCTTTTTAAACAAGTCTTTTTTTCTTAACAAGATGAGGATACTTTCAGAGTGAGTTGATCAGATACATTAAAAAAAATATATATCAATTTTTAGAGGATTCTGGGAAGATGGTGAAGTAGAAAGCACCAGGAATCTGTCTCTCCACCTAGACAATGCACTGGCAGAATTTGTCTGATATAACTATTTCAGAACTCTGGAGTCTGTTGAAGGCTTGCCACTTGCAGGGGAAGATCTAAATGGTAAACTACAGCTAATTTTGGCCAATTTCAGCTGTTAGCACAGTAGCAGCTACCCATCCTCCATCCTTAGCCATATGGAAAGTGTTCCTGAAGCAGCTTGCACACAGCTTGAGGGAGCAGGGGTGGGCACAAAGAACCCTGCTCTCCAAATATTGGGGATCTGTGCTCTGAGAGCTGATCACTGCTTCTAATTACAGAGGTGAAGACACAGAGGCGGGCAACCCCTGTTGTTGGGCATCCCCTCATTGTTGCAAGGCCCTTCCCCTCTGCATAAAGTGACTTACAGGGGATTTAAAGGGCTGGTAACCTTTCCTTTCACCTGTATTTTTTGCTTTTTCCCCATTCAGGAGTCAGACTTCAAGACTAGAACATTAAAATAAACAACTGCATATACAGAGAAAATTAGAATGTGACTGCATGTGTTTAAGGAAAGGCTCAGAAAAGGCCCAAGAAGACATTAAGTTTACACCTAAGGCTGACCTTGGCACTGAGACAAAAAACAAAAAAACCCACAATAACAAAAAGAGTAAGCCCTGAAAAGGGAGAGAATACCTAATTGTAAAAATACCAGACAAAGACTTTAAAACAACTATCTTAAGGATGCTCAAATAACTAAAGGAAGATGTGGAAAAAGTCAAGAAATGATGAATGATGTGTGGACAAAATGGAAATATCAGTAAA